GATTCCAGAGCCTTCAGTAAACAATAAATTGAAACGTCGTGAAGGCTCTGGTTCAACGGGAGGATTCTTTGATTAAACCGCGCCAATCACAAAACAGAATTAGTGGTTTTAGTAACCTGTATTAAAACCACTAATTCTGTTTTGTGATTGGCGCGGTCAAAAAACCCCTCGCATACCCTGGATTCCAGAGCCTTCACGAACGTTTCAATTTATATTTACTGAAGGCTCTGGAATCCAGGGTAGCCCTCGCATGGAAATTTAAAACATTTTCGCCGCAAATTAACAATCAAATAATATAGAATACGTAAAAAGACAAAGTACAACTGTTAACATGTTAGATTTAGATGTCATTTGCATTTATACTTGTAAGTGACAATGTACTTTAATGTGCTACTAGTAGTTTAATTGTTACAGCTGCACGAACAGAATGACAATTGTACACTACAGTAATAGTATTAATTTATGAGTCCGAAATCATTAATCAAATGATGTTACACTTATGTACGTAATGAACTTCACTTCATCACTTGTTCTTTCTTTTGCTATGTTTGGTACTATGTATTATTAATTTATCTTATTGATCTTCCAAAATAAGTGATGTTTTGCATAATTAGGGCTTGAATTTTATCGCGGCAATTGCCGTAGAGGGAGAACAAATTGCAGTGGATCATTGGCATTGCGGCAACGACGGCAATTTTTTGCTGTATAGTATAATTTTTAAACTGTTCACTGTGCTTTACTACTCCCGTGATTTTGATACTTGAATTCAGATGTTGATCAAATCATCCGTGAATTACATTTTAGTCTCAGTTTTCTTCGAAAAAAAAACACTAAAGAAATACGTAAACATGTTTCTAGCTTGTCAGCAATCCAAAGTAACAATAAAATTAAATTTTTATTACAGTAATTTGAAAAAATGCCGTGGAAACTGACAAAATTGCCGTAGACAGCTGTTACGTTCTACGGCAATTTTTAACGCCATTGCCGTAGATTGATTTCAGGGAAATTCGAGGCCAACTTGAATTCCAATTAGAACATAACAAACATCGTGTTGGTTCGCTTGTACCTTTGTATATAAAATGTTTCCTGTGACCAGACGAAAAGTAGCCGGCGGTAAAAGTTCAAGTAGCCGGCGGAACTCCGCCGGCCGCCGGCTTATTCTGAAACCCCTGCCTCCAGGAAGAACAGTTTAGAACTGATAAAGCTATCCAGTATAAATAAAGTTAGTGTAGTTTAGGTTTCCTCCTGTAGTAACACTGGACTGATAAGAGATGACTCTTTTGGAACTGATAGAGTATCCAGTATAAATAAAGTTAGTTTAGTTTAAGTTTCCTCCTGTAGTAACACTGCAGCAATAAGAGATGATTCTTACTGGACCTCTAGGAAGAACATTTTAGAACTGATAGAGCTATCCAGTATAAATAAAGTTAGTTTAGTTTATTTTATTTTCACAATACAACTAAAATGTTTTCCACAACAATATATAAAATATTATTTTATAACACAACATTTAACGTTAAAAGGTCCATTGCCCGTGCACATCAAAATAGTTCAATAAAATTTCTCTCAATCTATTATATACATTTTGAAATTATTACCCAGCCGCCTGAATAGGCAATTGTCTGGAGTATTACTACAAACGTTCGGTAAAGGTGACTCACCATTTGAGATCCCATCTTACCGCTCTAGGATACATCATTATCCCTGTGTACCCTGTCAAAAGAGTTTGAGTATCACTGATCTCGAAAAGTAAAGCTGGACTGATATCATGGATTTTAAAAACAATGAAAAGACAATGGAACATTCTGATCACTGGATCGTGACTGGCTGGCATGGAGAACAGTGGATTTTTAGAACAATGAAAAGATAATGAAACATTCTGATCACTGGATCGTGACTGGATGGCATGGAGAACAGTGGGAGTTACAAAATAATGAAAAGACAATGGAACATTCTAATCACTGGATCATGACTGGATGACATGGAGAACAGTGGGATTTTCAAAACAATAAAAAGACATGCGAAAACCACAAAGAAAACCAACACTGAACACCGTATCGTTGTCTTGATATCACGTCAATAAACGCTGATAAACTAACCGAATTTTGTGTTAAATTTCTGTATTCAAACACGTTCGTCGAGTATGTGGTCAACTTTTTCATTGTCAAAGCTAACGGATATGATGTCGTTAGATGCCTTTGTTTTTCGCTCCAAAATCCATCCAATGACATAATATCAGGAAACTTTGACAGGGAAAATGTTGATCAAGATGAGGTTTTTACTATTTAACAATTATTCGGCGAAGGCGAGGTGATAATCGGCGAATATTCACCGGGACGAAGTCGAGGTGAATATTCTCCGATAATCACCAAGCCTGAGGCGACTAATTGTTTAGCATTTTTACACAATTCTTCTGTGGGTTTTTTTTGGGAGTGAATTTATTTTAATTTCGCTTATTTCTTTATCAGTAACTTCCACAAAACGGCTAGCCGCCATTTTGCAAATTTCGGTTTTGTTGTATTCACCTGTAGGTGAACATAACAGCTTAATACGTCAGACTTGACCAATCAACTTGTAGGATTTGTTATTTTCACTTGTGCAAAAATACTAAAACGATATATTGAATTTCTTTCTCAGAATGACCAAATATTACACATACCAAATATCGTATTTGTATAGGTAATCATGCGATGGCGAGTACCATTAGGGATTAATAGTACGAGTGATGTTTGGAAATTATGCCAAAATTGGACGAGCCGCCGGGGCGAGTTTATTGATAGCATGACAAAATTGGATACTTCTGTCTCAATGTCAACATCATATTCTCTCGCCAAAGCCCAGTCTTGCCAGACTTTCAACCAAAATTTGGTGCTTTTGTTTGTATTTTCATTTAGTTCATTTGTTAAAGAAAAATTTGGTACTTTTGTTCGTCTTTTCATCTAGTTGCTCTAGGGCAATTTCATTTCACATTTGTGTTTAAACCTTTCCGCCATTTTGTTTGTTTGGGAAAATCATTAATTGTACTGCAGTACAATTAATGAAATAATTGTACTCCTCTCAACCAATCAGCATCCAGTAATTTTGCCATGCTAATAATAAGGCATTTTAACTTTGTTGTATGAAATTTGATAGCAAGATTATATTCGTTTTACCTCATGAGGTGGTTCACAGCTTTCCAACGTAGTTTCCTGCTCGATTTTCTCATATGAATTCCCGTTCAACGTTTCATCCGTTTTCAAACCATTTTCGTGTAGTAACGGCTTTCGTTGGGTCACGGCATATTCCTCGGGTAAAGCTTCTTCCACGGGGGGCATTTCATCCGGTATCACTGTTCTTGTCGGAGTCTCTTCCGCCGATAAGGGTTCAACACCTGAAAAAGGGTTTTCTTCCTGCGGAGTATGTACTTCCGGTTGGGTATTTACTACCGGTGGGGCACTTACGTCCGGTGGGGTACTTACATCCGGTGGAGAACTTACTTCCGGTGGGGAACTTACTTCCGGTGGGGCACTTATTTCTGGTTGGCTATTTACCTCCGGTGGGGTACTTGCGTCCGGTTGGGTATTTACTTCCGTTTCGGTACTTTCTTCCGGCAGGGTCCCTTCTCCCGGTAGGGTACCAACTTCCGATCCGGAACTTTCGCCCGGTTGGGTGTTTTCTTCCGCTAAGGTACTTTCTTCCGATAGGGCATTTTCAGCCGGTGGTGATTTGTCCTGAGTTTCTTGAGGCTTAATTTGGTCATGTGGTGCGGTTTTGTCCATGACATCGAAATAGTTTTCGTCGGTAAAGAAAGGATGTTGTATGAGTTGGTTAGACGTGGGACGTGCACCACCGTTTAGGGCAAGAAGGTACGCCAACATGAATGATATGGCTTTGCTCTAGAAAGTAGCAAGAGGTTTAACCAGTGAACTCTATGGAAACTGGAACGCTAAATCCAATGTTCAAGTTCAAGTCGTATGGCTGGCTGAAGCGAAATTTCATGTTAAGCGCAGGAAAATGCACCACTGCCTTCAAAGTTTGCTGTTGAGCGAGGATAAGAAAAACAATATTTATATTTGAAGGCTTCAATGGATGGTTTCAGCAATAGACTAAGTTTTGATCTGGGCAAGAAGAACAAAATCCAACACCACAGCTAGAAAGAGCATGTTAAAATTAGTAAAATTGCAAAGTTTGGTTGCGAAATGTTGTAAAATGATGAAAATATAGCCCTGCGAAATTTGCAATTTTTCCGGCTCAAACCATACATATCTTATATATAAGATATCTATGGCTCAAACGTGGTGTATTTTCCCGTTTGTAATACAAATTAATACAAAATTTGCAAATTTCGCAGGGCTATATTTTCCTCATTTTACAACATTTCGCAACCAAACTTTGCAATTTTAACATGCTCTTTCTAGCTGTGGTGATGGATTTTGTTCTTCTTGCCTAGATCAATACTTCTTTCCTACGAGGTGTTAGTTTCGGCTCCACATTGTCATGGTTTCAAGACAACGATACGGATTCATATTTTTTTGTCTTTTGCTTCTGACTTGTATTAGGGCACCTGTTGATGACAGCATTTTTTCTAATGCTGAAAGCTCTACCCTACTCAAATATAGTTTTTCATACTCATTTTCATACGTACTGAGTATGAAAACCTATTTTCAAAACAGTTCTTCAACGTCAAAAATCATGAGACATTTCTTCATAATAACTTTAAATATTTACCGTAGAATGTTTCTGTAAAGATGTCATGTCCCTTGGCACCGGTTCATCGCCTAAAAAAACCTGCAAAGGACAAAATTTGTTTTACTCATAGTTTATGTTACTCATAATCTCGGTGAGAAAAAGTTCATTTGCTTCTAGCCACGCTTAAATATCGCAGTCAGTCAATAAGATGTGTTCGCACTGCTTGTTCCCAGTTGTTGACAAGTCTGGAACAAGTTGTTATCATCTTGTAACAAGGTTGATGAGGCCAACAGACTCGCAACAAGTTGTTCCAACAAGTCTGATACCGTCTGCACGTAACAAGTTGTTAACAAGTTGATGACAACAAGCTCGTGGCAACTTGTTACGAACAGCCTGTATTAGTCTTGTTGGAACAACTTGTAGCAAGTCTGTTACCGTCATCAACCTTGTGACAAGATGATAAACAACCTTGTTGCAACTTTGTTTGCAGATCTTTAACAACTTTTCACGTGTTTTTACTTGTGTATCGTTACACCCCTCCCCCCGTTACGGGTCATAAGGCTCGGTAATTATTTATGGCGAGGGGTAGCACCGAAGAGAAAAGGGTTGGGTAAACAACTCGTCTTGTAACATTCCTGTAATATTACGACTGTATCAGACTTGTTAGAACAACATTGTAACAAGTCTGATAATGCCATCAAGCGTGTTACAAGTTGTTAACAGC